GAAAGACCTATACTCTGAAAACTATAAAACACTAATGAAAGAAATTTAAGGTGCTATAAACAAATAGAAAAACATTCCATGCTCATGGACTGGAAGAACAAATATTGTTAAAATGTCTGTACTACCCAAAGCAATCTACAGATTCAACGCAATCCCTACCAAAACACCAACAATCTTTTTCACAGAACTAAAATAACACTAAAATTTGTACAGGACCATAAAAGACCTCAAAAAGCCAAAGCAATCTTAAGAAAACAAAGTGAGAGGTGTCATAATCCCAAATTTCAAGATATACTACAAAGCTGTAGTAATTAAAACAGTATGATACTGGCACAAAAATAGACATATAGGCCAATGGAACAAAATAGAGAGTCCAGAAAAAAACCTATGCTTCTCTAGTCAATTTTTTTTTAAAGATTTTATTTATTTAAGAGAGAGAGCACGAGAAGGGGGAGGGTCAGAGGGAGAAGCAGACCCCCTGCTGAGCAGGGAGCCTGATATGGGACTCAATCCTGGGACTCCAGGACCATGACCTGAACCAAAGACAGTCACCTAACTGGGCCACCCTTATCTAGTCAATTAATCTATAATAGAGGAGGCAAGAATATACAATGGGTAAAAGATGGTCTCTTCAATAAATGGTGCTGGGAAAATGGACAGCTACATGCAAAAGACTGAAGCAGGATCATTTTCTTACACCATACACAGAAACAAACTCAGAATGGATTAAAGGCCTAAATGTGAGACCTGAAACTACAAAATTCCTAGAAGAAAATATAGGCAGTAATCTCTTGGACATTGGCCTTAGCAACATTTTTCTAGATATGTCTCCTAAGGCAAGGAAAATAAAGCAAAAATAAAGTATTGGGACTACACCAAAAAACAAAAACAAAAAACAAACAAAAAACAAAAACCAAAATCAAAAACCTTTCGCACAGCAAAGGAAACCATCGATAAAATGAAAAGGCAGCCTACTGCATGAGAGAAGATATTTGTAAATGATATATCTGCTAAGGCATTAATACCCAAAATATATAAATAACTTAACACCAAAAAATAAACAACAACAAATAATCTGATTTTAAAATGGGCAGAGGTGGATGCCTGGGTGGCTCAGTCAGTTGAGTGCCAACTCTTGGTTTCCACTCAGGTCAGAATCTGGGCTCCATGCTCAGCAGGGAGTCAGCTTCCCCTCCCTCTGCTCCTTCCCCCACCACCTCTCGCACACACACTTCCGCTCAAATAAATAAATTTTTTTTTAAAAAAAGTGAGAAGAGGACCCAAATAGACATTTTTTCAAAAAAAAAAAAATCAGGATGCCTGGATGGCTCAGTCGGTTGAGTGTTACCTTTGGCTCAGGTCATGATCCCAGGGTCCTGGGATCGAGTCCCCTATCGGGCTCCCTGCTCAGCGGGGAGCCTACTTCTCCCTCTGTCTGCCGCTCCCCCTGCTTGTGCTCTCTCTCTCTAACAAATAAATAAATAAAATCTTTTAAAAAAAGACATTCAGATGACCAACAGACACATAAAAAGATGTTCAACATCACTAATCATCAGGGAAATGCAAATCAAAACCTTACACCTATCAGAAGACTAGAATCAAAAAGACAGATAACAGGTGTTGACGAGGATGTGGAGCAAAAGGAACCCTTGTGCATTGTTGGTGGGAATGTAAATGGATGCAGCCATGCATGGAAGCTCCTCAAAAAATTAAAAATAGACATATCATACAATCCAGTAATTCCACTACTGGGTAATTACCCAAAGAAAATAAAAACATTAATTTGAAAAGATATATTGCACTGTTATGTCTATTGCAGTATCATTTACAATAGCCAAGATATGGAAGCAACCCAAATGTCCACTGACAGATTATAGACCAACCCAAATTAGTTAATTTTGGGGTTAATCAAAAGAGAGATTATTCAGACAGACCTTATCTAATCACATGAGCCCTTTAAATCTGGGCCGAGCGATCAGAAATGGAGGAAGTCAGAGACTCAAGCAGTGGACATCTTCCTGCTTCCCTTGAAGGAATAATTGCCATGTTGAGAAGGTCATGGTAGCAAGGAATGGTGAGTGGAGTTGAGAATGGCCACAGTCAGCAGCCAGCAAGAAAACTGAATTCTGCCAAGAATTGGAAAAAGGCCCCCAAACCCTGGGAAGAAAGCAGCCTTATATCACCCATGTGAGACCCTGAGAACACAACCATGCCATGCCAGACTCTTGACCCATGAAAACAGTGAGATTATAGATATGTGTTAAGCTGCTAAATTTATGGTAAATTTATGGTAAAAAAACAACAGAAAACTAACACAGGATCCCCAAGGACAGGGTTATCATCTAGGGAAAGTAGAGGCCTGTACATTAAAGCTACAGAAGCTATGATTCCGCCCTCTATAGGTTAACTTATGAGTGTCAGAGAAATTGCTGGTGGCCTAAATAGGTGATGTTGGGGCTTCTCCCAAATTCCTCACCATCCTTCAGCCATTCTCACGCTCTAGAATCAGGTAGATCTGAGTCCAAATCTGAGGTCTGCCACTTACTAGCTATATGATCTTGGCCAAATTACTTAACTAGTCTATGCCTGGTAAGTCAGCAAAGATTACTATGTGTGTACAGTGCCAGTATGTATTAAAACACTTAACACACGTTAGATGATGACAATTGCCATTACTTAGCAATTTTATGTACAGGTAGGAGGATTGATGTCTACGCCTTAAAATAAGATGCTGAGAACAGGGAGACTCACTTGCCACTTCTCTATTTCAAAATTCTGGAGCACTTCCTATTGTCTGTGTTTAAACTCTTTGGTATGACACAGAAGAAACCTTTACAACCTGACACTGTTTTCACCTTTTCACATGTATTGTTTATTCTGCTTGAATCAGCACCTTTGCTTGAAGCCTTTCACCTGGTTGGCCGCTCTCCCTTCTATACATGCGCCCGTATACACCCCCATTATCCTGTATTTCAATTGTTAACCTGCCAATATTCCGCTAAATTGCACATTGCTCGGTGGTCAGATTTCCATACCCACTGTCTGGCAGAGAACTAGGCAAAAAAGTGGGCAAGCCACACATTTTTAGAGAGCTGAATGTTCATTACTTCAATCCTCTAAGAAAAGCTACTTTCAGATGGAACTAAAAACCAAAGCTGTGGGGGCGCCTGGGTGGCTCAGATGGTTAAGCGTCTGCCTTCGGCTCAGGTCATGATCTCAGGGTCCTGGGATCGAGTCCCGCAGCGGGCTCCCTGCTCCTTGGGAGCCTGCTCCTCCCTCTGCCTCTCTCTCTCATGAATAAATAAATAAAATCTTTAAAAAAAAAAAAAAAAACCAAAGCTGTGGTCGTTGCTTCCATAGTACGAGATGTTTTTTTGGTTTTTTTTTTTTTTTTTAAGATTTATTTATTTATTTGAGAGAGTGAGAATGAGAGAGAGTACATGAGACGGGGGAGGGTCAGAGGGAGAAGCAGGCTCCTCGCTGAGCAGGGAGCCCGATGCGGGACTCGATCCCGGGACTCCAGGATCATGACCTGAGCCGAAGGCAGTCGCTTAACCAACTGAGCCACCCAGGCGCCCTGTGAACAATCATTTTACCGTTAGAGCGGCCACTAACATTTTTGAGCATTTCTTTTACATTAGGCGCAATGCTAAACATTTTACGTGCATTTTTTTTTAATTTTTTTTTTAAGATTTTATTTATTTATTTTGAGAGAGAGAATGAGAGAGCACATGAGAGGGGGGAGGGTCAGAGGGAGAAGCAGACTCCCTGCCGAGCAGGGAGCCCGATGCGGGACTCGATCCCGGGACTCCAGGATCACGACCTGAGCCGAAGGCAGTCGCTTAACCAACTGAGCCACCCAGGCGCCCCTCATAGTACGAGATGTTTAAACACTTGGCAATTATTTTTGTTTTCCAGCAATATGCCAGCGTAGGGAGGCTGTCAGGCAAAACTCTCATCCTCCTCCTCCCAAAGAGAAAACCAAAAGCATAATGAACCTAAACACAAAATGACACACAAAGCCAGAAGGCAGCCCTGAAATACCTAAAACAACCTATCTTACTAGAAGCTAGAGGCCAGGCTGGTCCCTTGGCCTACATGTCGGTTCACTAGAGAGAAGTGCTTCTTAATGTACATACCAGTCACCCGGGACTCTCGCTGAAAGGTAGAATCTGGTGCGGAGGGGTAAAAGAGCCAAGAATGTGCCTTTCTCATAAGCTGCCAGGTGATGCCAATGCTGTCGGTCTCCTGATACCTCCAGCCTAGACCTGTGCTGCCCAGTAAGGTAGCCACCAGCCACATGTGGCTCTTAAGCCCCGAAATCCGGCCAGTCTGAATTTAGGTGAGCTGGAAGTCTAAAATACACACCTCTTTTGAAGACTTAGTACTAAAAATAAAATAGCTCAGGAATTTGTACAGATTTTATTTTGAACTAATACTGTATTGTATACAAGGGTTAAATCAAACGCGTTATTTCACTGTCTTTTTAAAAATTTCCTCTGCGGCTCGCGCCTCGCATATTTCTACTGGACAGCGCGGCCCTAGACCGACAACACGCCCAACGCCGAAGCTTCCGCTACTGCGAGACTTTAGGAATAAAAGAGAATCCATCTCTTCCCTCAAATACCTTTTATTTCTCAACTATGTGGCACAACCAGAAATAAAAATGAACTAAAATGAAAACCAGGGTTTTATTAAATACGTATATACGTAAATATACACAACACACACACACAGAGTCCTCTCATTTCGGCTTAGACTCCACCTAGAGCACTACTTTTATCTCCCTCCGGTTCCCACGCCACGAGATCGAATTGCGCACGGGAAAACAGTAACAAAAAAGCGGTCTCCGACCTGAAGCCAAACCAGGCTGTCCCGCCGCCCAAACCGAGGCTGAGAAAGCGGGTTGTCAGCGGGCAGCGCCTCCCGAGCTCCACCTCCTCCAGCGCCGACCTCCCCAAGATGGCGGGCGGCGGGGGCCGGCTTCCGCTTCCGGTGTGAGCAGCCGGGCCGGGGGGGCAAAATGGCGGCGGCAGTAGGGGTCCGCGGCCGGTGCGAGCTGCCGCCGTGCTCCGGCCCAGGCTGGCTCCTCAGCCTTTCCGCCTTGCTGAGCGTGGCGGCTCGAGGGGCCCTCGCCACCACGCACTGGGTCGTCACGGAGGACGGGAAGATCCAGCAGCAGGTAGCGGCCAAGGCGTCCCTCTCCGCCCGCGCCCGCCCTCGCCCCGGGGGATTCCCAGGTCCGGCCCCTGGCTGTTTGGCTCCGCGCGGTCCCGCCCCCAGCCTACCTTCCCACGGTCCCGGCGCCGCGGCCCGAGCGATCCTAGTACTCAGAGCCGGCGTAGCCCCCTCCCCGTTTGTCCGCTGGCCCTCGCCTCAGCCGCCCGCAAGTTCTTAGCCTTCCACCCCTGGGGTGGCTTGCCGCGCGGGCAGAGTCGCCCGGCCGTGGGGGTTCGGGCTCTGGGGACATTTCGTCGGGCTTTAGAAATCGCAGATTCATTATCCTTGCCTCTGTTCCTCTCGGGCCCACCACGCGTCACCAGCCCTCCCCGAAGAAGTAGAAAGCATGCGGCAGCGCCGGGGTGTGCGCGAGTCCCAGGGCGGTGACAGCTTCGGCACCCCGAGGCAGTGGGTCATCTAAGGCTTCTTCCCCCCGTCTCCTCTTCCACATGTGTCGGGCTGTGGTGGTTTCAGCTTGTACCGTTACCCAGGCCAGCAGGGGCCCTTTAGAGACAACACACACTTTCCTTCCGAAGGAATGCTTGAAGATGCCTCTGGTGGCGTTGCCTGCATCTTTTCAGCTGAAACTGCCCTCGTTTCCCAGTGTACTTTGCACTGTTTCTTTACTTAGTTCCTGTGACCCAGCCCCGCAAGGAGGGTCTGTGATTTCCTGGATTCTTGTGTGCCCGAACTAATTGCTCAGAGGAGAGATTGCTTTTCTTTTTTCTTTTTAAGATTTTATTTATTTATTCATGAGAGACAGGGAGAGAGAGGCAGAGGCAGAGGCAGAGGGAGAAGCAGGCCTCCCACGGAGCAGGGAGCCCGATGCGGGACTCGATCCCAGGACCCTGGGATCATGACCTGAGCCGAAGGCAGACGCTTAACCATCTGAGCCACCCAGGCGCCCGGAGAGAGTGCTTTTCTTACATAACTTTATGATTGCCTACATTTTGTGACTGCTGCTGATCCCTCAACAGTACGTGTGTGTGCTCTGCTACAGAATCTTGGTAAACTTAATGACTTCCAGTACTTGAGAGCAATCCTGAAAAGTCCAGCAAACATTTACCGAGTGAATTGTGTGCCCCATGCAACTTAGCTCACTGACCTCAAATGGATTAATCATTATCGTGTGAAATTACGGACCTTTGGGTTGCGTGTAATGAATGATGACAGGAACACAATGCCAGGTTTACTTTTTTATGAAGTGAAGTTCACGTGATGGCAAATTTTACCTCAAGTATAATGAGTGAGTTAAACAATTCAAAAATCGGGTTGGTATTGGTGAGTGGTTTTCAGTATATGTGAGAAAAGAGACTGGCTTTTTACTGGATGGCATTTTCTATATACCTAACTTAAATTAGAAGAAATCTCCTTTTCATGGCCATACCATTTTAGATTTAAAAGATAGGTGTGTGTTTCAGAAACTCTAGAATTGAACACTGCTAGTTCTTTCCTTAACAAAAGGTTAGAAATCTTATGTGAGTCCTGGCTGCTTCCTCCACCCACTTTCGTTTGTTTCCTGATGATAGTTTTCCCTGAGGCCCTCATGAAGGGATACATGGAATTAAGTCACTCTTGCTGCAATTTGGGGAGCCCTTCTCCTATTGGCTCTTCTGCAATATTGTTTTTGGCCACAGCTATTTATACACTATGACATTGACTTCTCCTTCCCATTTTGGTGTCCTGCCACTCAGCCAAGGAAGTAGCCCATCTGAAAAGTGAAAGCTGGTAGAAATGTATTATTTGCTGAACCTTGCAATGGGAAAGTAGAACCTGATTTGTTTAAAAAACAAAACCAAAACCACATTTTTTCTTTTTGCACATTGGATGGATACTTATGTTTTAGTGGGGGGGAAGGTAGGGGTTACTGTTAACTTGCCTCAGAAAGGGGGAAATCTGAAGAATCTTTTGGAAATCTGCCAAGTACCCCTGCAGTAAGTTGTTAGGCTTAAAGTTAGGAAAGTAAGATTTCTTTACTACAAGCTTTTAAAAATTATCTTTTTCAGTGAATTTTCCAGTACTTTGCTACATAGCATTGACAATGTTAAGTTCAGAGAACCACAAAATTTTATATCAGAAGAAATAAAGTTGGTGTCTACAGCGTAACAAGAAGAGGCTAAGGGGGTGCCTGGGTGGCTTAGTTGGTTAAGCGACCCACTCTTGTTTTTGGCTCAGGTCGTGATTTCTGAGCTCAGCATGAAGTCACTTGTTCCTCTCCCTCTGCCCCCCCCCAGGCACCCCCACCCCCACGTGTGCACTTTCTCCCTCAAATAAATTTAAATTAAAAAACAAACAGACAAACAAGAAGAGGCCAGTGGATTTAATCTGAGGGAAAAGCAAAACTTATAAATAAAGTAGAAGAGTTGAATACATGATCAGCTTCTGAGTGCCACTCTGATAGTTGTGCATGCATTATCCATGCTGCCCTTCCTGGCAGTAATTTGAATGTAGGCAGAATGCAAACCTCAGTTTTGATTGTGATTAATTATCACATATGTTTATGGTTATTAAAGAATTGAAAGATTCCTTTATTATATGGATTTGGGTATACTGCAGATCTATTCATATGTTCAGAAACAAAAGCTTTACATATATATAAGATATATATATATGTAAATGGTATATTATATATACATAAATGATATCTTAACTGACATACCAAATGCCTTGCTACTTGTTTTTCGTTATAATAGCTGAATGAGAACAGAAGGGTGCTTTAATTTTAAAGTGGTCTAATATCAGGGAGAGGGCTAAGAGCAAACTGAAAGGGCAATCTTAGAATATTAGAGTGGCAAATACCTTTTGAAACTCTTTGCCTGATATTTAAACCTGTCCAAATTAGATATAATAGGTAATTGTTTTCCGTAATGAACTTGGAGAAGTACTTATGGATTAAAAATCTGAATTACCCAAAATACAGATTTACACAGGGATAGTTAACATCACTATAGTTAAAGTTTTAAGTACATTAAGCAGTTCTTCCCAGGAGAAGAGAACATTTGTTTGGTTTTTCTATTTCAAGCCTCAGCAGATGATAAAGATAAGTACCCACAAGTTAGGGACTGCTGACTTGTGAACATGCAAATGTGTCTGCAGCCCTATATCTGTAAGGGGCTTGAAATGGGGCTTCAGTGAGAGCCGGAAGCAGCCATTCCTCCAGGCAGCCTCCTCACTGTCAGCGCTGTGGTTGCTTCTAGCAGTAGCAAGTAGTGAGCACTTGGTGTGGCAGCTCAGGGAATTGTTCCTTTCCACAATCCCTGCCTGAGCTGGGAAGTATGTCTTATATGTTTTTAGGTTCCATGTTTACTGAGCTGCCACTGAACTCCCCGGAGCATTGTCCAGGGAATCCCGGAGCTGGGATGTGAAGAGAATGCTCTGGTCTCTAAGTTCCTGTCCCACTGCAGTCAAGGGACAGCTAAGAAAAGGTGCTCCTCTTCTCTTCAACTATAGGTTTTTTTTCCCAGCTTTGGGCTTTGGCATACCTCTGATCTCCTAGTACCCCCTGTACCTTAAATAAAGCAAGGATCCTTGGGGTCCATGGACTTAAGTAGTGAGCTATTATAATCTGGGTTATTAGGAGTGTAATCAGGTCAATGGATCATTTGGTTGACTTCATTGTGAAGAATAGTCTGTTAAGATAAATTTTGTGGGTTTTTTGTTTCCTTTTTTCTATTTTTTTCATTACTAGTATGGCAACATTTATTTTCTGTTTTTACCAAAACCGTCTGGAGAGTCACTTGAATGGAAGGTTAAATGAACTTTTGTGAATTAGCCTAAGAGCCTAACCATTAATGTATCACATCATTTCTGTGGAAAAAACAATGTTCCATGTTCTAAATTACCAGCTAACAGATGAATTCCTAAAATGTTACCAGTTTGTCTTAGACTTACTGAATTCAAAGGTGGTACTTCTAGCCCTGGGTTCATTGCCTCGTGATAGTCTCTCTCTTTATAAGTGGAGGTCTAAAACTTGAAGTAAATAAAGAGTATAATCGTTACCAACTCTCATAACATTATAATATTTATTTTCTTGGCTACTGTTTCCCTCTTCTCTAATCTTAGATCCATAGAACTTTAGGTTTGGAAACAATTCTTAAAGGATATGTAGTACAACTCATAGGAGAGAATGTCGTCCAAAGTCACACAACTAATGAGTGGCATTTAGTGATAGCAGTAAGTAAAAATCTGTAGTAGCATGCAGGTGAGCACCTTGTACTCAGAAAGATTGAAGTACTTCCCCCCCCCCTTTCATAGTACCTACAAATGAAAGAATAGAAAGAAAAGAAAAAGGAAAAATGGGAATAATGAAGTAAAAAGTCTTCTCTTGGCCAGTTTGCTTTACCTCTGCAGAATATTTTGTGATGACTTTTAAGTTGGGAGTGGGTGTGAATTAGGTGTGAATTAATTTGGGGTTATTTAATCATCTTGCCTTCTCCCAAGCTAATGTGTTTAGAGTCCAGATCCTTTTAACTGCTTAGAACAAATGAGGTTTCTAGTAAAACCGATGCTCTGAAGCCTAGCAACCTTGGCATAAGAAGTGTTTGACAGGCAGTTATTTCAGCAACTGTGATTTGGGCAAGAGCTATCGGATTTAGTTGGACAGACAGGCTAAATCTTTATCTCTTGGTCTTTAATAGCTTATTAAGTGAAGGAGTGGTTTAATTTGGGTCTGATATTAAGTAATTGCTTCATCTGGGAGAGGGCATCCAGATGATACTATGAAGCTGACAGCTTTCTTTCAGTACTTTTCAAATTGAGCCCATCTTTTTGTCATAAAGTGTTGTTTCTCTGTTTATACACTTGAGGGATTTACTTGGACCTGAGAGGTCATGGTGGCTTATTCACTAACTTGCTAAGCCTTTGCAGTTTGTCCTAGACGTTGGCATCAAAGCGATTCTCATTCAATCCATTTTTTTAGACTTCCCACTATTATTTTTTTTCTTATAAATCACCCAGGTGTTA